CATAAATAAATAAAAACTTTACATACATGTAATTTTCAAAAGACAGGCAATTTATATTTAAACAAAGATAAAGTTATGCGATTTTAACAATTTCTACCATTAGTTAGGGCACTACACAAATTGGAAGATTGGAAGAAGTTGGACGACGATATGTTTAGAATTATCTCTGTTCGCTAATGGCGTGTGTGGTCCACGCACGCGCTGTAATGAGTGCGCGCGGGGGGTGGGTAGTTAGACAATTTTACAACTGCGCCTCTCCGTTTTTTGGGAGACTCGCATCGCTAGATGTTCCGATAGATTATACGAGTCACAGACGCGAACTTTCCTTTTATACCTCACATAGACGATGTTACTCAAAATTCTTTCCCAATCAAAACTTATTTAAAATCGAGTTACGTAGAATGATCATATAGGCAATGTAAATATGTTCACCGTTTTTCGTATTTTCATAGTTTAAATTAGTGTACTTTAAATGATGATACGAAACACTCACTATCGTATCCATTTTTTTTTTTAAAACTGATGAACAATTTTGTGTTACATCATTTTATATTATTTCTTTTTTATTTCTATCGCCATTCAGTCTGATCCAGAATTTTTCTATTACATTTAGTCCGGCTACATGAACTTGAAAGCCAATTTCAGCTACTATTTATTGTTACTATGTAACTGAATTCAGAAATACAGTCAAAAAGCGAAGTGACGGTTTGTAATAAGTAAAGATGGCTTCGAGCATTAGCCTCTGCGAGACTACAAATTGGGTAGAATAACGTATGTATTTACTTCATGTAAAGTGTCTCATCTGCGCCGCTTAATCTATGCCAACATCTGTAGGTGAGTACAAATTTGCATACGTCGAAATAATTTAGGGGGGGTTACTCCACACCAACGCTCCCCCGCTAATGTGCGCGCGTATTGGTAACTTAGAATAAGAAAATTTCGTAGACGTCACGGCGGAAGTCATTAAGTTAAGGTAGCTTGGTGAAGTATCGACGGCCTCTTAGAGGGTGGCAGATTCCATGAGGCGAGTTTATTTTATAAAATACAATTTTACCCGAACTCAAGTCTCTGTTTATCGTGTTAGACGTGAATGATTGGTTTGCACTATTTACCTTTATTAGGTGATTATTGTTTCGGCTCCAATAATGTTAGCTTGAGCTCGCAACATAAAAAAAAATTCAGTCAGAGGCAATCAGAAATCTGAGGAAGTAATTTATTCATTTAGTTCCATGAATATCACAAGTTACAGAAAAAAAATAAACTAAAACACAAGATTGGTGTGACCCAAGTTATAGGTAGAAATAATACAATATTATCAGTAGCATTGCATATTAATAATAATTTAATAAAAAATATAGACACAAAATTAAAAATTATTTATTAGAATAATTATATATAATTGTTTTCTTTTTTATATAATAAAAAAGGAAAAAAATTGAGATAAACTTATTGAAATAACCACCAATGCATTTTTACTTTAAATACCATTTTGGGCTAACGAAACTTCTCGTATTCATGTGGAGAATAACAAATACATATTCGTAGCATGAGCAGAAAAAAAATATCTAATCAATAAAAGCTATTGGCGGCCCTGTATTCTGATTTAAACAGAAATACATTAAATTCAATGAGTTTACACACTCTGATGTAATCCATATTTGATCAATGTTAGTGGGATAACTTAAAAAAACCTAAACTTGACTATCTCAAGGCGTTAACTAAAAATCTGCATTACAATAATAAAGTGATTTCAACTACCATCATTCATAAGTCCCATTTCGCATCTACACGTAGATGTAATGAGGGTGTGATAAATAGGTGTATCGAACTTATTATGGAATGGTCTACTGTAAAGACGTGGTACTTTCCCGTAAGAGCCTACCCATTTGAAGCAGCAGAGTTCTCTGTCGGGCTCTTAATAGTAAAACATTTAAAAGGAACAAACACAAGTTGGTATAATCTTCCATCCTTAAACAATATATCAGATATTCGAGTTGAATCATGACTAGCTACTGATTTCAGGACTTGAGCCGAATGTACAAAACGTTTAAAAATTAATTTACAAAACTTGAAAATTTTTGATTACGTATGTATATGTATTATAATATATTAATTAAATAATTTAATTAATTAATTTAATTTAATTATTAATTATTATATTGTTTATCGCAAATTAAGACCAATCCTTAATAACATTATTCATTCAGAGACCATCCTCTGCAATGCAACAATTTAGCTAACCGCTTATTATTTCTTAGGTAAATAAGAGCTAGAAATTAGCCTAAAACTTGAAGCAATTTTGGCTTTAACTATGACTTTGATATGTCGCACAAATTGTGTCTAATTAATTAAAATATACGGCAAAGTAACCAACGAAACCGTCCTTATTTCTAAGGTTTCACGAACGCCTCCGCGTGTAGTAACAGCCATCGAGATAGTTTTATTTTTAAAAGCGACCTTGAAAATAAACTCCACGCGATATACCCGGTGTGGATTTAAAAAATGGCCGTATTTTCGTTCGAACGACACTAAAAGTGAGAGTGTGTGTGGTGGTTTTTTTTTTTTCAACAAAAAAAAACACGAGCCGACAAATGAATGAAAAATATTTTTAGCCACCGCGAGCGTGGCCCGCTCGCAAATTTTAGAGATCGCCGTCTGTGTGTAAAAAAAAAGGAAAACAAAAAAAAAAAAATAGAGCGCGCGAAAAATGCCTATGTCCGCACTATCGGTCGGTATTTTTCATTCTCTATTGAGTGTTAAAAGTGAAATAGATTTCGGTTTCCGGGCGTGTCTAGTTCACTAGCGCCATCGGAGCGTCGTTTTTTTTTTCTTTTTTGCGTTTTTTCTGCCCGGCAACGATTGTTTCGCTAACCGTTTCCCGTTTCACTCCATCAAAGTTTGATCGGCCCTCACTGGCGTTTCATAATACTGGTTAGGATTCTAGTTTGTTTCGCCGGCGCGAGTGGCGTGGCTGCGAATTTTTGTAGTTCACTGAACTTAGCAGGGGAGCGGATTAGGGGAGGTAAACGAGCGCTACTGCATCCGATATATTACGATAGTGTGATTTATGTATTTTTATATGTTATATGATAAGAACACGGAAATATTAGCGACATTCGAAGAATATACCTACATTGTATAGATTACGGTAAATGATTCCTTGTATTTAAGAGACGACTAAATTTTGTCGATATGATAACTGTGGTAGGGCCACGCAGCAGCCTCGGCTGTTGCACGAATGGGCAAGCTCATCCGGGTGGAGTACCACGACCTCACAAAAGATCGGTGTGAAGTGGAAGTATAATACTTTCGCGTTTCGTCTGGTGATTGAGGTGGCCGGAGCCCAATTTTCAAGTTTGTCAACGCATCTGCAACCCTCGGGTGTAGCAGATGTCCATAGGCGGCGGTATTTACTTAACATCAGGTGAACCGCCTGCACGCCTGCCAACTTTTTACATTAAAAAAAATTGCCGAATAAAACATTAACACGGATATATTTAATTTAATAGAGTTCTTATTACTTATCACAAAACAACAGTGTATTAAATTATAATTTTATTTAGTACTCTAGTAACCCTTTTACTAAAGACTACATTTATATTAATGATAATTTTCGTAGACATTTTTTTTTTTAATTTGTCGTAATCTTGGACCTCCATTACGAACCGAGCAAGAATGTTGCATAACGGTAAGCTCTTTGTAAATGGATAAGAAGAAATCTATGAAGTTTTGATGTAATCAGAAATCACATAATTATCAACACATTAATTGTAATATTGACCTTAATTGTGAAAACTTATTCTTGAAATTCCTACTCTAAGTCATTTGCGTTACTTTTCGCTATTAGTAAAATGCATTGGTGGAGTATCAGATTTCTTTTTGTGATTTAGTGTTCGAAAGGTATTACATACATTAGACCGAAAATAATCTTTAGTTTCTATATATATATCTAGTTATTAATTTGTACTAGGCAGCCCAATTTCCAAAGACACATTTATAGAATGTGGTCTATCATGAAATTATAGCCCTGTTTATATCTAGCAATAACACTGGTTTTTTAAAACAAAAGTTAATGTAGGCCGAGGGGAAAAGTCCCTTTTAGTAGATGGCTGTGGCATACTTGACATGTTAGTACATAGAGAATGTACTTAGACCACAGTACATGTGTTTGAATCCCAATGGCGCCTTTTGTCAATTGTTATTCTGTTTATTTTGTTAACGATTGAAAGTATTCATGTTTATATCATTTTAGCGTATTTTAGAATTTTAGAATTATTGTATTTTTACCTAGTTTAAAAAGTTAAGTAAAGTAACAGCCTATACATGTCCCACTGCTGAGCAAAGGCCTCCTATGTACAGAGGGCAAAGGCGACCATGCGAGCCCACTGCGGATTGGCGGACTTCACATATCTTCGAAACCTTTTTTTTTGTTATTTTGAAACTATGCAGGTTTCCTCAAAATGTTTTCTCTTCACCGCCGAGCACGTGATATTTCAGCACTTAAATTAAAATTTCATTGGTGCCAGCACCGGGGATCGAACTCAGGTTGCTCGAGTACATTGACATAAAAGCGAACGTCCATACAGTGAGCTTTACGACTTCTTTACGTAGAATATTATAGTAATATGTAACCTTCGTCATCTCTAGAATTAGTTGTCGAGTTTCATTTGTCAATTATTGTTCCTTATTCATGTAGTGGCGTTGAAAGGTATTACTTAGATTTCGCATATTGTTAAAGGAACGCATATACGTCATCGCAGCCTGGGTAGCTTATTATAAGGTTAGACAAAGATTCCTCTCGCGACATCGGGCAACCAGTGTCCGACGGCGCCCGATAGAATTATAATGCGCGATCGATCCTTACAGCGGGAACCGTGGCCGGTGTGAAATTACACCGAGATAGAACCACCAGAGCGGGGCCGCTAGGTTACATTCTGACAACTCTAACGCGAGGGAGCCCACACGACAGGCCCGTAATAAAAATTATATGCTCCAATTTACGATGGCATGGGAGAGGGTGGCGGGGGGAGGCCGAAAATTCCCCCCTCGGAGCGCCCCCCCCCCCTGATTGCGGGATCGAATCTCGCTAAACGAACGCCGCGGCCGAAGGGTGAGCGAAAAATTTTCGCGCGGAGGTAGGGGCGGGGGTGGGGGGCGCAGTGCCGCGGGAAGCGCGATACAGTTTTTTCGCCATTATTCCCCGGCTCGCGCCAACTATGTGGCGGGTGAATTTGCGAGTAATTATTGAATTTTATCCGGTGCTACGCGAGGCCGCTGTCGGCACCGCGCGGATTTGAAGCCGGCGTCGCTCGGCGCCGGATGTTTCTGGAAATTAGCGTACTGCTCGCCCACGCTTTGTTCCCGCGTCTCATTTGACGCCTTGTATCGCGTCCCGGTCGGAATAGCGGGGCTATAGCTTTGATATTATGTCATAAGTTAAATACTATCCTATATGTTCCTAACGTGTACATTTCACCTACACTTTTACCAATAAAATATGGATCACTGCAAGAGTAATTATGCTACACTCCATCAGTTAAAGAGCTTTGATATCTTCTCCTTTTCGAACGCACTAAGTTACATTTTAAGACAGCAACGGTTCCGTTAGAACAATGTAGTGTTAATTAGTAAACAGATGTAATCTCCTAATTAACCTTAAGTATTTTAGTAGGAGGAATGCTAAATAGGAGTTGTAAGTTTCTAATGAGTCGAAAAAATCTCTGTCCAAGTTTTAAACTTTGACAAATACTTATAAACAAATATGAATTTTAATACAATTTGCATTACGAAGGTTTAACGAAATAATGTCTCTTTAAAATTTGCAGTAATGTAAATCCTAAATTGCCAATTTCGTTGACACCAATATTTTAAGTAAAAATCACAGTGAGATCTCATGCGACCAGACACTCGGTAACCATGGCCCTCTGTCTTATTTTAATTAGAATTTAAAAGACCATCGTTAAAGGTGTAAAAAGCTAGTACAGTAGACAAGTCGTCAACATCGGCCAAGTGCAAGTCGGACTCGCATACGAAGGGTTCCGTACAATTATCTATAAGACAAAAAATTATGGCTATTGTATGGGGCACTCCCTTAAATGCTTTTTTTATTTTACTCTGTTTTTTAGTATTTGTTGTTATAGCGGTAACAGGAATACATCATCTGTGAAAATTTCACCTTCTTACTATCACTGTTCATGAGATACAGCCTGGTGACAGACGGACAGACAGAGAGACAGACAGCGGAGTCTTAGTAATAAGGTCCCGTTTTACCTTTTGGGTACGGAACCCAAAAAATGAAATGAAGAGGCAATGAAATGCATCTTAGTAAGCTACCTGTCGGAGGAAGAATGGTGCACATTGTTTTTGTTAATTTCGTGCGTTATTTAACTGTCTTTACATTTTGTATGTCTTACTGTTTATGTTCTTAGTTGTTTTCGTTTTCCTGCACCATCAAGCATATCGTTATATAATACTAATTACTGTTTTTTTTTTATTTCAAGACACCTTATTACAATAACTAATTTTAGAGGGTGAATAATGTGGCATATATTTTTTTTTGCATATTATTTAAGTTTACTTCTACTAATGTACATCCGCAGAGTTTATTTTATTTGAATACGAGTATATCAAATTGTTTTACAACTGTTTATTTTCAACGTAGTTATTACGTAAACTCAATCTTAATAACAGAAATAAATCTACAATAGGCAGTCACTCCGTAGTAAGACTACGACGTAGTACTACGCTACGTCGTAGGCGGCATCAGGAGCTCTGACCTCTTAGTTGTGTAGAAGAAATAGATTACGTATTTTGCGAGGCCCTACGAATAAAGTAATTGATTATTTCTCGAGCTTTTATGATCATACGATATTCGGGAGAGTTTTGAATGGCGCTTAAGGGAAGGGAGATTATTTATTGAGGAAAACATCTAATGTTGCAAGATGTAAAAAGTATGCTAATGATCTGTATAGGCCTTATACACCTATCTATTTTCCACTGCTAGTCATAGCCCTCCTCTGAGCAGAAGCTTGTGATTTATAAACAACTAGCGACCAGCCCCGGCTTCGCACGTGCAATGTATTATACACATAAACCTTCCTCTTGAATCACTCTATCTAGTCAAAAACCGCATCAAGATCCGTTGTGTAGTTTTAAAGATCTAAGCATAAATAGGGACAGACAGACAGCGGGACGAATTTGTTTTATACCATGTAGTGAGGTCTCAAATAGTCAGTTTCTTTGGGACGTTGCCTTTATTAAAATGCACGTGGTAAGTCAGCGTTAAGTCTCGATTATTAAGCCACTAAAAGCTCGACTTTTCCAATCTTTAGCCCACGTATGAGGTCTGTGCCGGTTGCCAAGTTACGTGGAAACGTGGAGGGAGTGCCGTCGCACTAGCTAATAAGGAAGTCCCGTTTTCCTTGACCGAGTTATTCCTGACCCAGTTACTTTTCTCTTGAAATTATAACGATTCCCCAAATGGGAAGTGCCCGACGAGCCCGAGCTTGCAATTATGCTAAACGATTTCCTATTTACTTTTGATTATACAACAAGCGCCCTCTGAAGAACAAAAATAACCTGTCATAATTTATTTATAGAAGAATCAAATATTATTTATTTTACGTCTGTAGTTTCTTAAAATTGCGTATCAGAAATAGCAGTACTGTCAATTTACTTTTTACTATCAAAGTTTTTCTACTATAGTTTTTCACTAATAAAAGTTATTGCATTATAATTTGTAAAAATAATGGACGAAAAGATTCTCACCGCACTGGGAATGTACATCGTTATTTCAAATTATTTGTGCGCTGTAAACGATATAACAATAGAGCATTGTCTAAAATGCGAAAAAAGAATGTATATAAAATACGTTGAGGTTTTCGTTGGCAGTAAGCCGTTTAGCTTAGTAGTTAAAGCGTCTAGGCACGAATCTGGAAGACGTGGGTTTGATTCCCGCGGCGGCGAACATCTTTTCGTCCATTTTTTGTAAAAGTTTTAATGTTTCATCTTAAGCGCACAGATTATCACTACAAAAATATAAAATTTGAAAGTTACTCCATACCTTCAGGTGCGATAGTAGTCGAACTTCCGACGGTTATTGATTAGAAAAAATTAAATGCTTAACTTCAAATTTGTGATTTATTCACCCAGAGGTCTACTCAGGGTTATTTGCATCTTATTACATATATGTAGATATCATCATCATTTCAACCTATAAGAGTCGACTACTGAACATAGGCCTCCCCCATAGACTGCCACGAAGTACGATCCTGAGCCACCTGCATCCATCGACTTCCCACATTACAGGTCGTCACTCCATCTAGTGGGGGTTTGTACTACAATATACTTAATATAAATACTTATATCAAATATATATTTCACTGTGTTTTATTGTCATTACTTTTGGTGAGTCTATAAGTGATCGTAAAATTTATGATTATTTTTTGAGCGATAGAGTTTATACTTTGATAAGATATTTAAGTTATGGAGACGATGATCGCTCCGCTGGAATATATAGCGTCATCAGGAAACTTAAAACATCGTCTGTCACTCTTAATTAAAACAATGTCTCACTAACTCTAATTTATCATTGTTATTTCAGCCTGTTTGCGTCCACTACTGAATATAGGGCTCTCCCACAGACTGCCACAAAGCATGACCCTGAGCCACCTGACCATCCATCGACTTGCCGCACTCTTGCACAGGTCGTCACTCCATAGGGGTCGTCCTACACTGCAATGTCCAATACGAGGCTGTCACTTGGAAACCTTTCTCTCCCATCGGTTATTGGTTCTACGAGTTATATGACCGCCATATTGGTACTTCAGCTTTCTAACTCTATTTCACTAAAATATATGAGCACAAAATTACATGCGCGTTTAATGGTTTGATTAAAACAGCGAACCGTTGGATTAAATGCTTTGAGTCCGCTAAGTACAAGTCATCTTTGTATGTAATCGGATTATAAACTAAACGTACAGTTTACGCTTCTAGATTTTGAAAACTAGAGAGATCATTGGGGCGGAGTAGTGATCTTAAATAGTACATAGAAGTAACTTTATTGTTACAAATAATAAAATAGTGATATCGTTGCTGAAAATCTCCAAATCTAATCAATATTTTAAGCATACTTGTTGAATAAACTTTAACATAAATTTACTTTTCACCTATTGGATGCAGATTTTTTTCATATTTCCCCAGTATAAGAAGCATGTAAGTTTACAAGGATGATATCTCAAATAATTTCTACCAGCGACTTATTGTTTTCCGTAATTAACATAGTCTTCGACCCTACCGCTTAAATTACTCAGCATCTTATATCGATATAAATAGTTCAGGAGAAAATTCCTTACACAGCTTCGCCCTTACAACCTAAGACGACTTTATTGTCGCGACAAGTATCTACTAGCACGCCACACGTACAAAAAGCCCGATACACGATCGCGACTCTACATGTAGAGTCAATTCTATATTGTGCTCATTTCAACATAATGCATAAACATACGCGCGTATATGTCGGCACGTAGGCGTCACATCGGCCCCCCCTGATTAAAAATCATGACATGCGCAGAGTAATTTAAAAACTAGCGGAGGTCGGGTTAATTTTTAAGTATTGATCAAAAATTGCGTATATGCACACACTTGTGTTGTGTCGGTGGCGGCGGGCGGGGCGGGGGGGGCGCGGGTGGCCGGCCCCCCGACGTGCGTGAATTAGAATTTTCGTTTTGTTGGAAATTTGTCATTAGAAAGTTCTTTTGTTAATACGGGTCGGGTTTTATTTTCCGTTTCGCCGCTTTTTTTTCTCCTCTCTCTCTCTCTAGTTCTATGTGTGTGCTTTTTATCTCGTTTCGCGTATACGTCGCCGCTTTCCGTGTCGGTTTTTGCGCTGTGCTAAATTTGTTGCATGGGAATATTTTTTTTTAATTTTTTCGCCGTTTTTTCGCCTTTTCCGTGGGTTGAGCACTATTGAGTTTGTTCCTTTTTCGTAGCAGCACATTCCGTTGGCATGGCAGTTCTTTTTATTCAATGCACAGGCTTTCGCTTTCACGTTTCACTGTGACCAGTGTTAAGCGTTAGATTACAGTTGTAAGATAAGTTATTTATTTGTAAAAATAATAACTTATCTTACAACCATATATCAATATCAATATCTGTTTAAAACGCTGAAGTTTAAGCAAGTATGCTGCTTTTCAGAACCAGCTCTAACTCTGTTTCTGCCACAAACATGTCTGGCACATTACATTTACAAAGCAAGTCGAAGCATATTTTAATAATAAAAAGAGTTATAATATTATGTGTTAATTAAATTGATTATTTTAACGACGGCATAACACTAACTGATTAAAAAGGCTTAAAAAAAAGAAACCAGCCAAACTGCAAAATTTTGTAATTTGTATATCAAATATTACTTACTTTACTTTACTACATCAAAAATTAATAAATAAAGACGGTGGTAGGAATGAGTGAAACTATTCAAAAAAATCATAGAATTTTTTATCAGCCACGTTACCACTATTAAAAAAATACGAATCAAACGCTTATGATCAAAACAAAATAAATTAAACTAAATCCATACATACTGTTATCGAAAACTTTTGTAAAAATGAAACTGATAAAAATAATAAAAAACAAAAGTAAATTATTCAGAGCTGCCTTCTGAATAAGATTCGTCATTCTATTACGACACGGAGCTAAGTAGGTCGTGTGTTAAAAAATCAACCCTCCAAAGATAAGGGGGTGGGAAGGGTATACTGACGTGCCCCTTATTTTCACATGACATTTGCAGTGCGTGCTTCTTAACGATCTTCCATGGATGCTGGAGAAGACGCTCCGAGCGGATTCACGCTTTTAATTAAAAATATTTGGCCTACTTTATAACATCAGGTAGGGTTGGTTTGGTTTATGAAATTGAATGTGTGGAAATGCCTCTTGCTCTGCACTTGCAAGTCCCCTGGCTGTTGCTAATTTTATACTTAAATATTTTAGTGTAATTATATAATTTAAAAACCCGGCCAAGTGCGAGTCGGACTCGCGCACGAAGGGTTCCGTACCATTTATTTATAAAAACGGCAAAAAAACAACATGTCTGTTGTACGGGAGTTCCACCAAAATATTTTTTTATTCAGTTTTTTCGTATTTGTTGTGATAGCGGCCACAGAAATACGTCATCTGTGAAATCTGTCAAATGTGAAATTTATACTGTCTTTCTATCACGGTTCATGAGATACAACCTGTTAACGGACGGACAGACAGATAGACAGACAGGCAGACAACGGAGTAATAGGGTTCTGTTTTACCCTTTGGGTACGAAACCCTTAAAAAAAGATAACAAGACCGCAGAGTTTATTGCGGCTTCTAGTTTAGTGAACCGGTGATAGCTTTTTGACTTTAAGTATAAATTGAATAAAGAAATTTTGACTTCGACTTTGAAAATAAAGACAATCGGGTCGTAAGTGTACAATGATATTTTTAAGGCGTATTTTATTTACCTTAGCTATACACCCCCTACTTTAGATTCAAGTCCTCATTATACAGATAATAATTCATAACAACGACGAATCTAATGTTCAAAAATCTAAATTTGCAAATGTTTACCTGAAATCATATTTTTTTTACAAATCCTGAGGCATAACCAGTGTTTATAGTTCTTAATTATCTGTCCACCTCGTAATTTTCACGGAGTTACGTCACCACAAAAAGTGTTTAAGTAACTACGCGTATTTTCGTATCATAAAATTTCTTACCTTCTAACTTATCTTTCATTTAGTTTTAGTATGGTAAAACATAATTACTTAAACTTTATTTTGGATGTTCAAAATGTGTACATAGTATAGAGTTCACGAAAAAGAAAACAAATTCTCCTTAAATTCCGAATAGTTTCAAATAGTCTACGCGGATAAAGAATGCCGTAGCAGACTGAGTTGAGTTCTCTCGGAGAGAAATATTTATCTATCGTTACTTTGAGCAAAAATACCGGTTGAACCGCTGGAATTTTGGAAATGAAGGCTTTAAAAATCCTAAAGAATAGTTTATCTACACTTTAATAAAATAAGATTGACCAAAATTATTTTATAGAAAATATTAGACAACTGTACTGTACTGTAATCGAATCAAAGAGTTATATTTTGAAAGCTTTTTACTGGGGTAGAGCCACGCAATATTCTTCCCTTTTGCCAGGATGGGTATGTCTACCAAGGCCTCACAAGACCGGTGTGAAGTGGAAGTATAATCAAAAATCAAAATCAAAATCATATTTATTCAAATAGACGCTTGCGCGCTCTTATGAATCGTCAAATTTTACATCAAAAATTACGTAACAGGTTCGTAAGGTACCACTTCCCTAGGTGGGGGTGACAACGCATCTGCAACCCTAAGGGTGTTGCAAATGTCCGTGGCCGGCGGTTATCAGTTAACATCAGGTGAACCGCCAGCTCGCTTGCCACCGTCTCACATAAAAAAGCCACTGAACCCGATTTTGCAGTGATTATGTGTACACATACTATTATACTATATTAACGCGAGTTATTGCAAATATGCGGGACGTCGATGCATGCAGGTGGCTGAGGTACGCGCTTCGTGGCAGTTTGCGGTGGAGGCCTATGTCCAGCAGTGGACTCTAACAGGCAGTTTTAATGTGTTCCCTCTGATAGCTTCAGTCCTTCCGGCGGGCGTCGAGACGTTTCGTCCATTTGCATTTCTATCGCCATCATGTAGTGCTCAGATGAATTGCTAAGATTAATCTCTGCGGCTAAATTTATGTAACGTACAACGTGACAAAACGTTCAATATCCTATAGGTGATTTTTAACGACCACCTTTACGGTTGGCAGTCAAGCACGGTGCGTTTTTCAATGAATTTTGTACCACATATGGACAATGTCTAATTAGTTGTCGCCACAAGCAGTTTTAGGGTTTATTTTAGGTTTTTAGTAATAGTCCCGTTTTACCCAAAGGGTAATACGGGACTCTATTGGTAAGACTCCGCTCCATCTGTCTGTCCTCATGAACCGTGACAGTTAGACAATTGAAATTTTCACAGATGATGTATTTCTGTTGCCACTATAAGAACAAATACTTAAAAACAATACAAAAATATTTAAGTGGGTCTCCCATACAACAGACATGTTTTTTTTTTTTTTTTACAGTTTTTTATAGATAACGGTACGGAACCCATCGTGCGCGAATCCGCGCGCACTCGGCCGGTTTTTTATCGTAAATAACGAAAGTAATTTTTTGAAGAAATTTTTTTACCTAATATTTTTCTGGGCACAGTAATCTTTTATCAGTCGTCAGAGGTTTTGTGTAGAGATATCGAGGTTTTGTGCAGAGGTATCGTCGATATTTTATTAGTTTGTAGACTCTCTGAATAGCAATATTCATTCATCGTTGTTTTGTGTACTATTTTGGCATACTTTTTTTTTGTAATTAAGAAGTAACATTAGACTTAGTTTGGGTAACAGTAAATTACTACTAACTAACCTTCTGAGTGCTAGTCGTGAGGAGAATTATAATATTTACGTTCATTCTATAATAAAATTCAAAAGCACTGAGTCAACGAAATTACATTGGCTTCTAAACTGCACATATATTTTGTTAAATGTGGCCATTGTAGAGGCCTGACCTGATTTAAAATCTTAGCGAATCGCTTCTAATTTGGCAATGCTTTGGCAGATATAAAATACGCGCTACTGCAGCCTAGGAAATAGGGTGCTGGGGGGTTGCTATATAATTTTTTAGAGGAGTTGTAAAAGGTTTACGTCTAATAAGCGAGGGCGGGGTGCGTCGTAGTGTTTGTGTTGCCCGTTTTATTAATATCCGATATATTTCCAATGCGTTGCTCGGAAGTAGCGACTTAAGACAAGACGTGTATCGTCTACATCTAAAACATACATAAATTGCTTATTACGAAAACATGTCCAAATATAATTGTTAAAAAATTTAAAACATTGTTAAAAAGAAAGTTTATGTCAAAATATTGTTAATGACAACATCGAATTAACCTTCTTAGCTTGCATCACACCACGAGAAATAGATTGGGATTGTTGAATCAATAATATAAAGTAGCTTACTAGATTATCTGAGCTAAGCTCTACTCTAATAATTTTCTTCATTGTGCGGTGATGAACATTAAATGAAGATTTGAATTAAACGGTTCGCAATTAGCGATCGACGTCATCAACATTGGTGGGCACCCTAAAGAATTAGAGTAAAAAAAAAATCCGCTCTCCGATCGGCGACCTCAAAAGAGGTCCCCATGCGCGGGATAGATAACACAATAGACGCGGGGGACGAGGATTCGTCCTAAACACAGCGCAAACAGCGGCATGTGAGGAATAATTTAAAAAATACGCAAAATACGGCCACTTCTAACGGACGGGGGGGGGGGGGGGGGCGGGGGCGGCGCGCCACCCTCGCCCCGGCGCTTTTGCGTATTTTTCGGTATGCGTGGCAGGTGGCGCCCCCACTCGGGTGGTTCGTTAAAAAGCGCCCGAGTACGTAGTATTATAAAAGTTGCGCCTACCGCGTGTAAGTAGTGGCGGTGTGGGTGAGGGCCCACCCCGCCGGGCCCCCGCCACCTAGTTAGACAGTTAAAAGTATGCGGTATTAACGGAACGGAAATGAATGTACGAGTAGGTAGGCGGCTGCGAGTTTTCGGGAGGCTGCGATGTGACGCCGCGGGTTACGGCTATGGAGGGTACCAGGCGTTTTATTCCCTCGGACGTATTATGACCTTTTTTGTGTGTGTCTCTGTTCGCCCCCGCGACGGCTCTCGGTAGCTTCTCGATTACTTCTGTAGACCGATAGGCCTTCATTATGATTCTGTTTCTGATCAATTGGCCTGGCAAACGCTGTTTCTTCTTCGTGCTAGAACGATATTACCTTCATTATGAACCTATTAGCCATTTCTTCGTTCAGCTGTATAGCTCAACGTATAGCTGCGTGTAAGTCGTTCGGAAGTTACGTCACTGACAGACGCACTTAGTAACGGATGACGGAAGCGATATTTTACTGTTAGTTTGGAGGTGATAGGTTGTCGAATCATGTCAATGGGAAATGTAGAATCTTGAAAATCTCTCAGAAGGTCTCCATTGTGGTTTATTGTGGAAATATAAACTGTTTTTAGTTCTTAATGACGAACGATTATCATTTAAAACTTTCAGTAATGAGGTACATGGGATAAAATCATCATAAATTACAATAAATAACGAAAACAAAAAAATGTTCTAAATTTAGTAAAATTTGTGCTTCCTTGCTTAATTTAATGTTTTTTTGAATATAAATAAGTAAGCAAAACTTTAAATTAACATTTCATTCATGATCTATTGAAAAAATAATCGTTATATCAATAAAATATATTTTTTGAAATTTGACGAAGCAGAAGGTCTAAAATTAGAATTATCTATTTTTCATACCCATTGTGAACGGAAGAAACGTTTACAATTATGTACGACAGTCGAAAGGGCACTAAAGAATTTACACTAAAGTGAGTTTTATCTTTACCTCGGTATAAAACTTCACCAAACGCTTTGAACAATATCAGCGCCATAATATAGTGTATAAAAGCGCACGGTCGAGTCGGATCCACTAAATTTAATGCTCTCTACAGCTATTAATTCTCTAACTGCGGACCGACGAACATAAAGCAAAGCGCCTGATATTTTACAATAGCAACAGTAATTGTTGCATTGTATAAAAGTGCTATTAAGTTTTTACTAGGCGCTAAGGAAAATTGTTTCGCGTATTACATAGTTCGATTTTTAAGTTTTTCAATGTTATTATGGACGTTATTTTACAACTTATTCAATAATATTCAATTTATCAAGTGTTTTTGGAAAATGTTGCATTTTTACATTGTTATCCAAAAAGACTACAATTAAATACCAGCTAGCTATAAGCAGAAAGAAACTTCAACAATACTTTCAATACTTTCAATAGAAGTTGGATAATCCGAAAAAAATAGAACATGTTGCTAGCTATTTTCCAAATCCGATACCCCGGTATTGTCCTTGTTCCAAGTATGAAGTAAAAAATAAAAAAACAAGCAATGAGCAAGCGCAATTAAGAAATAGAAAATAAATAATAGTATAAAAAAAGACTTAAAAACACGCTTTTGAAGATAACCGAAATAAATATCATTCTTAAACCCGATATTTAATACTACAAATATGACAATGAAATACATTAAAAATTGGGAAATATTCATATCGTTGACCTTATGATAACAGAATCAACATCTGCTATAAATAGATTAGTAAATCCATATTGTTAATTGAAGTGTAAAATAATTTAAATCAGACCAACATCTGACATTCAAGGTTAATGATATTGTTTTTTATTTTTTAAAACAAAGACTTTTCACGGTTGCCAGTGATTTAGTATTTGTTGTATATGATTTCTTTGTATAGTTTTTAGTTTAACAAAAACTTTGTTTACTTGAATAATCAATAATATTGAATTGTATGATATCATTACACACAATACACCCATATTTGTCGGAAAAATTCTATACGAATTTTCTTTTTGTAGACTGTGTCCGTCAGTTTGTATGGTGTAAAACATTTGAGTATGAAATAGTTTTATTAGAATATTGTGTTTGCGTTAATATAAACAAAAACTTTACGACACAAATCTGTAATACATTAAAGACAAAATTGTAAAACGTTTCCTTTCGCCTCTTTGTACTGATGACTAACGAAATTACCTTTGCTTTATCGTTACAACATACTCGTATGTTACTTTCTAAAATTACACATTAATATGTTATACTGAAATATGTACATAAAAAAATACATATTAAGTAGTTAGAAGCAAACAAACGAATTCCATATTTTGTACCAATGGGTGAATATCGTTTTTAAAATTCCCTTTGCATTGCTTTCGGTTTAGGTCCCACGTGATCCCATTTCATTGATATTGAACCTTGGGTTATAAAGATCTCCTAAAAATCCGATAAAAATGAATTGTGAACGAGATGTTTGTCGGTTGCGAGTTTGTGATTATAAGTCGGTTTTGTTTTTCTTAATTTAACCTCACAACTATCGCTTAGAGCAACGGGTTTGGTTGGTCTCGTCAGATGTCTAGGTAGTAGGAGAGCATGGACGCGTAGGGGATTACGCGAGCGAGGGGGCCCGTTGCACTCTCGGGGGAAAGGGCAGTGTGTCAGCAGGGACGAGTCCTTACGCCGCGGTCATGTGCCACTTTCAACGGCTCCTTTGTGCGGTGCCGCCACATGATTTGCTTTTCGCCACTACGAAAGGAGTTCGCATGATTGTGTCAGTTTTAGTTTTAATTTTGCCGTTTCTATACTGGCTGGATGTAGAAATTTTGAAAGAAAGATAATAAATACTTTTGGACGGAGAAAAATAAAAGGATAGCAATGAGTATTCTTAAAATGTTGACAATGAAAGTGTATTGTTACTATTATTGAAAATTGAGCGTTTTCTTGCTCTGACAACATCATTACGTATTTTAAAACCGTCGTTAGACTGAAGTTCATAAGATTTGTGACCTAATTTTATTCATAATTCGGATTGTGATTGCACAATTCTCGAAGAACCGCGACTGACTTTCCAAGTTTCAAATGTTAAATCGCTGCCTTCAATTAATGCCACATGCATATTTAATTCAGGTGCAGCCGTGTGGGTGAGTGGTAAGGTGGCAAAGCTTAACCGCAGAGTGTAGATTCAAACGATGGCATAGGCGATTGTATCTCGCAGCTCCGCCAAAATGGTAGTGCAGTCGAGAATGTATTAATTATTCAATTCATAAATAAATCAAATAAAATCTCATTTAATATTAGTCGCTATATAAAAATATATCGTTATATAAAACCATCATCATCCTCCCGCTGTTTACCTGTTGACCGGCGGACTGTCTGGGAAACGAAACACCCAGATTCAGAACAATTATATTTAGGTCACACAAATAGTTTTCACGAGTGGGAATCGAACCCGGCGCCGAGGCCAACAGCTTAGAAAACAAGTGTTAGTTCATAGGCGCCAGTAAAACGTAGTTGGCAAGTCCTAACTAATCTGATTATTATTATTGTAATACTGCGATAATAGTTCATGGATTTTGAACAGACAATTAACAACTTATGTATCATCATCTTGTTAAATTCCTCAAGATAGTTCCATATGTCAGAAATGAGTTTTACGTTCGTTTTCATATATGCAGTACGCATGACTTTTAAAAAAATGATGTATATAACATCGTCCTAGTACCGAAGACTCTGCAACATATGTAACGTATGGCCTGCCATGTGGAAACATACACAGGAATGAACATCGTTTTTAGACGCAATAAACTGCTCGAATCCATAATATGCTAGACGACAGGTACAATCAAGCTGTCTCTCGCAACTGACGCGCTGTAAATCGACATTGTGGCTAAGACAATCGCTGTTAGGCAATCCGTCGTGGAGCCCAAACCTGCCACGTCTCGTCTCCAGCGAAAGGACGCGGAAACGCCTCAACTCGGCCCCGGCGCGCGTATAATAAATTCGACATGGCGCGGCTCGCAAACATCGCGAGTAAAACAATTTATTACAAAATGTAAACAGGAAGAGCCCCGTATTTTCATTAAGAATACGAATTCTCGATACCCCCCCTGCCACCCCGCGCCCCGCACGCCCCAAAACCCCCGCGCCCCCCAGCCTCCTCAGCGGGACATGGACCGAAAATACCCGGTTATGATTAATTCCAAATGCGGCGCATTGATCAAGGAACCAAGGCTTTTTACTTCAAACTACCCATCTCTCGCCACCCCGCCGCCTTGGCGCGAGCGAGACTAAGCATGCAACGTCGCCCGTCTCGCTCTAAAACAAAGATGCTAAAACTTCTTTCGCTAGTATGAAGATTTTAATTTCATATTTTTGACGAAACGGCTCTAATTTTCACCGCACCGACGCTCGGAAATCGGCCTTAAAGGCAAGCCAATAGGCTCAATTTCGAACGGCCGCCCACAGCACTTGCTTCCGTCTTCTAATGCCGAATTAGTTTCCGAAGTGGAAAGATACAGTCCCAAGACTGCGGGCGCTCTCGCGATCGGTTCGGACCTTCGCCCGTTGGGCTAAAGTCGAAAACCCCTTGGCGGGGCGGCCGCAAGAAATAATTCTCGAGTTGTACCCCGAAATTAGTCGAATGAGGGGAAAGGGGTTCACACGACGGGTGGTTTTAAAAGAAGAAGGCAAAAAGGTGGGGATAGAAAGATGCGCAAAGACTTAGTTTGCGCGGGAAGGGGACGGGGAGGCGTTATAAAATATATAATTCTATACTTACAATACTTGTAAATACGGTACGCGGAAGTACCGCGATCGACGCAGTTTGGCACTTGTTAACGTTGATTAGACGGCAAATTTTACGAAACATACACGCGATCGAATGAATAGACTATTACTGTACTCTTGGTTGTCTTTAACAGAAATGTCGCCTTACTTTGCGTTCTCAACGATTTAATTACTCATTAGCACTTAACCAACTGATTTATCTAATAAGAATACAAACTGTCATGTTTTCTTTTCTTATTAGAAGCTTTCACAGTAAAGATTCTTTTGGATACGATATCTAAACCATATATCTAAAAGTACTTTCATTTTCTAATGTATTTCTGTTATAAAAATGTCATATTAAGTGGACAGTTCTGTGATACATATTTTACTAAAATGTTAGTATCGTGTGGACAATGGGATAAGAAGATAGAAGAATATTTTAAGACGTATTTTGAGGCGTGATATAGACATTTATTTAACACTTTCGTATCCATTTCTCAATAAGTCAAAGTAAATATGCTTTAAAAGGTAAAAACAACTATTTATTATATGATGATGAATGCTATAAGTTACTGAAAAATGGATCACCAAAACATTAAAACAAACAATAATCACGGTATAGTTGATTAAAATTATTTTAAAAGATAGGTATATATTGAAACGATTACAACAATATAATTTTAAAAGTACACCAAACAATTTTAAAAATGTTCTTCGTGGGTCAAGAGTGTTGAGGTAGCGTATACCGCTACATTCGCTGATATTTAGTCGCGAAACGGGATGTATTATAAGACGGTAGTTGTTTAAAATAAGAACGGGCGCGGACCCTCATGGCTCGGTTGTTGAAGCCACAAACGTCACAAGTTCGATTTCCGGCAAACATCCATCAAAAACCTGCTACTACGAAAGAGTCCAAATCAATTACAGTAATTGTTTACGGATTATTACGCAAATCTTAATACAATTGTAAAATTATGATTTGACAAGATAATTTCCTCATTGATTACTAGTTATAGTTTATATTGTTAAGAATATTTTTTAAAGATTCTTCAAAACTTATTCAATGCAGTTATTAATTTCCTTTTTAAGCAGATTTCTAGTAATTTAAATAGGAATTAATGAAAAGAATTCTAAACATTACTTACATATATCTATATGTTTAGGCGTCGAGTGAAGCTACCTATGTTTTATCCACTCATTTCGCGTGGTTCTTAGTAAAAAGTTGTACGGGGGTGCACTAGCGCCTACGCCGTAGCGGCTACGAGCGTAGGCCTCGGCAGGGCTGTTGCGACGTCGATTGCCATCGTAATATTTAATTGCCTCTTTCTGGAGTCGCCCCTACGGGTGGAACGCTGCAGGGTGGTTTTGTGAGATTTTCCAACTCTAACCCGGTCATATGATATTAGTTTGTTTTGAGTGTTTCAACTCGTTTAAATGAGCTACGGTTATTTTTAATGTTACATTCATCCCCGAAGTACCGCTAAGTTTCATGTCTCTCTAGATGTGGGTAGTCAGTCGGTGATTAAGTTTTTTTTTAATTGTTTATAAGATAATTCACTATGACAGTAACAAATTGCAGTATTTATTTCTATACAAATTTTATTATAATTGAATTAATGCAACTGCAAGCTTATATATAGCCTCGTGTAACTTTATTATATTTGAAAATACATATTTGTGAACTTTCTAATCAAAATGTTTCAATCATAATCTATGTTATTTATTCATTACTGCTACATATTGTGTGTTCTAAGGCATATTACATTCTTCTTTAATTCCTTCTTTGCAGCTCTATTCGAGTATTACTAATGAGATCAGGGGAATAAGAAAAATATGCACGTCTTTGGGACGCGCGCCGGAGGGGCTCCGAGGTATCGCCCACGCGAGGTCTCCGGCGTCGCGAACTACACTTAAGACCCTCGCAAGAAATGACACCCTAAAAAGCGAAAAGTTCATTAGCCCCAGCCCTGACGCTTACTATCTTGCACGTTCCTAAGACGCCCCCCGCGGGTGGCTTTAAAACACCCCCCCGGGCCGGGGGTGGAACGCGGAAATATGAAGGGAGTTCTCATTTATCAATACACCGAGACTGTTTCTTTCTCTCTAAGAATTGATTATGTTCTACTAAGAATATTGACGGGGGAAAACTTGCGGGGGCGGCGGGGCGGGTGGGGGCGGGCGGTCGTTATGTTTTGATTAGAGTTTTTGATGTTCCTCCGTAAAGGCCCCATATAGGGTGCTTGTATGTTAATTCTAAATACGCTTTGATACTCGTCCCCGTTCTTGGGAGAGACGCGAGATGAATACTTTCCTTAACGATTCCTCGGGCTTTTTTTCCTCGTAAACCATTATCGAAGGTTTTAATGGCCTGCTGATTTGAGGTGAGGTTTTGGCACTTTTGTACTACATCAGAGTAATCTAAAGTAAGCGTTAGCGAGTTTGTATGGTATCTAAACGATATGAATAAAAAAAGAGTAATAAATAATTTAGAACACATTCCTATACAACGTTCTCTAGTCCCAAACTAAGCAACGCTTGTACTATAGGTACTAGGTAACTGATGAACATAATTAAACATATTTTCTTTTGTAGATAAATATACATATACACCCAGACACTAGAAAAACGCTGTGTTCACCACACGATATTTTTCCAGTAGTGAGGATCGAACCCACACCCCCTGGCGCAGGAGGCAAGTACACTACCCACTACACCATTATGGTCGTCGTTTAAATTTTCAATTAAGAAAGTCACTAACGTTAACTGTTATGAGTGGCTAATATTGGTTAATACGTGTGATATACTAGAATCGAACGTAGGACCTGCTACGTTAAAACCAATCGTAGATCAAGTTTCATTGAGCCCTGAAGACAGTTAAGATCAGAGATTCAAACAACTTTTTCGTTTCTATCTCAAGACTTTCTTTACCTTTCATCGCAGCAATAAATGCATGCGTACGGAATCGAACTTTGGAAGTATTTTGAAAAGTCCCATTTGACTCGTTAATCGAACTATTAGGACTCAAGAAATATTGATTGTTTTACAGATGAATTATTTATATTGCACTTTAAAATATATATTTTTTTTTTTATTAACTATACTAATTAATGTAGTTATTTACCGTAATAAGTTAATACTTAACCTAACTTTCTACCATCAAAAAAAAAAATAAACCTATATATAAGAAATGATTAATTCCATTTATTTATTATTCAAGAAACCACATTGTGAAAGTAACTAACTGTCTTATCTCTAAGGAGGCCCAGATACGATTTTGTCTATATTAAAACTTTTCTGAATTCGGTATTGATGGGCTTAACTTGACTTCAAAAATGACATCGAAACAGCTTCAAGTCATAAACTTATCGTTTACTATTCAAGCTCTCATAGAAGAGAAGATAAAGAAATAAGTATAATGCATAAAATCGGCAGAATCTAATGAACGTTTTAAATACAACAAAGAATTACCAATCAAATACCTATCAATACTCGCTGTCGAGCTGATTTTGATTTTGTTAACTCATAACCAATTTGTATATACCATTCTCTGACGATAAACGATACAAGTAACAAGATATGACGAATTTAGATTGATTACAAAACTACCCAGCTGGTGACGAGCACGACGTCCCTATCGTGCGTCCGCCGAGTCATAAATAACAAATCGAATAGCGTCGCCACTAGTCACGAGTGCGTCGCAGGATCCTAAGCCGGGCGCGCTGGGACCCTCGGTGGGTGGTTAGCCCACCGCAGGGCCCATCTGCATAGACGGAAAACTTGCCGGAGTCACGTAGACCGAGCCGAGAGGGCACACAAACGCGAATAGGCAATAAAGCACCGCCAGTAATATAAAACTAAGAAACATCAACATCTTACCCCCCCGGGCCCCGACACCCCGCCTCGGGGGTAATTCCCCCCCCCCTGAACTTACTAAAATACTAAAAACGGAGATACGAAGGGGCGGCCCACCCCACGACGTTTTCTTATGCAAGATGGTTATATTTTAACCTAAATGTTAGAGCTACAGAATCCGTGCCGCGTCGCGAAATCGCGTCCACCACTTCCTGCCGCTGCCATTTGGCGAACACGGCGTGATTGTGGTTGATGGTAACACAATTATAATATTAATATGCTCAAATGTTGTTTGTAATTAAAATACCGAATGCTATAATTAAATCAGGTTATAATTCGAAAAAAAATCTAAGGTCATCAGTGTATGGGCAAACTTTTAAATCTTTTGCAATTAAATTCTTACTGTAATTTAATTAGTGATATGATCTGTTGAAGCCAAATAAAAATTTTATAACTAAGAAAAAACTTTCGAAATTATTAGTTTATTTTCATTGAAACCTTAACGCTTTAATACTTGTAGTTTCAGAACGCATGACCAAGTTAGACAAATAGGGCTAATGGATTAAATCAGTTTCGACATTGATAGATAGCACAGTACTGCCCTCTAGTAAGCATTAGCAAAGTTGTACCACGAAGATTTTATTGTAAACACACCAATAGACTGTCTG